TTAATTTTAAATATAAAAGCATGAATAAAAATAAATAATATTATTATTTTAGATTTATAAAACTAAATACAGAAATAATGTTTATGATATATAATAGAATACTTTCTATTTTAAATATAACTCTCAAAATGCATGAATATAAATATTAGGTAAAAAGAGAGTATCAATGATAAATATGTAAAATATTAAAAGTTTTTAAAAGAAAATATAACACATAAAGCTAACGTCTTTCACTTATTATTATGCAATTCCAAAACTTTCAGTCTGAAATGATGGATAGAGAAACTCCATAACAATGTTTATATTTTTTAGATTTAAAAGATGTATGCACTTTAAGTGAGTTTTTAAATATATATGAAATATATTTTTGACATCATTATAATTGAGTGTACCTAAGTAACACATACTTTATTAAGAGGAGTAAGTATATAGTTTAATAAATCATCAAATAATAAGATTTTTATCAATTATATAGAGATTTCAAATAAAAGAAGAAATTAGTTAATAAAAAATGAGTCATCTGGCCATGGGATCCCACAGTGAGAAATTCCATTTACAGAATATCCAAGACTTCAGTCAACAATCAGAATTTTAAATATTATATAATGCACTGAGTTAAATTTATTATGTTATGATGTTTGTTGGTGATGGAGTCAATTGTTGAAGATATTTTTAATATAAATATTATGTTATGTTTAACTATATATCTTATAATTATGATTATGTTAAAAATTACAAATACACTTACAACTCTTTGAAATTATTAAAATATCAGAAATAAACACAATGCTCCCAGCGTAGCTGGGACTTTTGCTAGTCCTTCTATATTTAAAAGAGTAAGGGCGACATATTCAATCGAGATTCTTTTCGAGCTTAATGGTGGAGATGAAAACACGTGGGAAAAACAGTTGAGAGTGGAACGCTTCACAAGTTTTAGGTTTTGTGTATTTTTTTGGAAGTGGAGCAACAGATTGAGGCTCACACTTGGATGAGCAGGAAATGAATTTTGGACAAGTGATCAAATTTCTGCAGTAGTGTGGTGGTGAAGCACCTGAACATCAATTTCGAGAATTTCGATATGCACTGCACAGTACAGTCATATGGAGCATGGAGCATATTTCTGAACGTAGTCTGAAACTCTAAACCTCAATCTTCTTATGAAAGGTACTAAAACTGTCTGTCACATTGCAGGAAACAAGCTTGCATACTTTCAGAAGGTTTTTTCAGGACTCTCCAAGAATGAACGTTGTCTCTTGGTACTTCTCAATTTGCTCCACCAGAGGCTTATCAACATCATCGCTCTCTACAAGAACAAATTCTGCTTTCACCTGTAAGTCAAGTGTTTCCTTTGAGTTTTCAGCAAGCCAATCGGACTTTGTAACGTCTCTAGACATTTTGCAGCTCCTGAGAAACGTTCGCTGTCTGGCCTCCTTGGTTGCCATATATGCAAGTGTTTCCTTCAAAACTTGCGAGACAGGTACTCTCCCAACCTACGCAATTTGTAAGGTGCAAGTGATGTTTCTAAAGAGTGACTTACCAGAATTTTGCAATTGTTCGGACAACAGATCATACATGGAACAGTAGAAGCTCCCTGTTCCTCTCTACTGCATTTTCTAGCGTCTACTTGAGCACTACCCGAAAACGAGCATCAGGGACCAATGCAAAACTCCTTCTATTCCTGCAATTTACATAGCTGCTCCTTAACCTTTTCTTTGCATCCCCAGGAAATTTGGAACTCTAGAGAAAATGATAGTCTAGAGCACATCGATGATTTAAGATATGCTTCAAGATGATTCCGTGTCTTGACTTTCTACTGCTTATTTTAAAGACAAAGTAACTGGGCAACAGCCAATCAACAGACTTTCATAGTCTCCAGACAATCTCTGCAAAGGTGGGCTGTTGATCCGCTTTCTTA